TCAAAGAATGTGAATTAACAAGCCTCTGGAAAATTACCTACAAAGATGAAATCTGACCCTTAATAATACCCAAGGTCACCCCGTCAAATTTAGTGACCGTAAAGCAGGATGGAATATTGGACCCTGGGATAGTAGGTCCGGCCAGGTTGGAAGAACCCATGGACCGTCTGTGACGGGCGCGGCGTCAGACCCCAGCCTTTCTCACCAACTTGTGACCAAAGGCCTAGCCAATCTAAAACCGCGCTGTCACGTGCGTAACAATGCCACGCTCAGCTGCACCCTGCACAAAGATTTTCCAGCTCACTGGACCACAATCTATGTGCCGCAACCTGACAGCGATTGTTACTGGGTCAGGTTAATTACGCAATTAATCCTTCACACTGCCACCACCACCTTTTTGTACAGAGAAGGAGGAAACTCGCCAATCTTAGCAGTAACACTATGATGTTTGAATAAATGTCTGTATACACACTGTAACCTCAGGCAGATGTATGCAGAAGTTTAAAACACACAGTAGCGCTCTTCAGAGACTGAGATTTTTAGTTTGCATTAAAGAGCTTTAGAAACAGTTCAACACATTTCAGAAAATAGTATTTATTACTAAAAAGGTCAAAATGGTGCAATAAAAATATTTACAGAAAAAGATGTAGCCAATATATATATATATATATATATATATATATATATATATATATATATATATATATATAAATACAGAGAGCAATAACATAACAGAAAGAAATTTAGAGAGGTAGAATACATGCCAGGGTCCTTGGTTTACACAGATTCAAGTGTCCTGAACAAAAGGGTACCGTTTTCCCAAAGTTGGTTCCTGATGTTAAAAAGGAGATCTCTTCATCTTACTTCTCCAGGCTTGACAGCCTATTTTCTAGTCCTCCAGCAGGGGGGTGTCTCTGAAGCCAAGGGCCAATCGCCTCATTTTGGGAGGGGGTTTTAGGCAGAGACCCAGGCTAGGACCAAAATCCCTCCAAAGTTATACCATGGTCAATAACCTTCCATAGGTACATGTAGCATCCTATCCATGGTAGGATAATATGGAGAATTATATTCTGAACGTCTAGACATCAAATATGACATATCTGCCTGTGACGTTTAAAGAGATATCGCTTTATGCTCTCAGGTAGACGTAATCTAGGGATGTAAAGTATCAGGTGACTCACATTAAACTGACCTATCTGAATATATGCTTTGTTTTATTGTACGTGTTTCCTGCCGGGAGTTTATGAAATTGTATGAAAAAGTGATTTCAAATGGGATGTAGGTTTTACTGCTATTCCAGAATGCTTTCAAGTCTAGTGACTGATGGGTTTATAGCTTTACGAGCAGCTCAGAGCAAGAGTGTGCCAGACACCCTGGCACCAGGTAATTGGGTTTACAACCATGAAGTGTATCCAGCTGTGCCCTGTGCACTCCTGAACTCAGCACATACACAGACCACTTGCCATATATATATATATATATATATATATATATATATATATATATATATAAACTGTATTCCATGTAGCAGTGAAGTGTTGGCTCCCCCTAGGATGGGAAGTGATGACATTAGCCCAGGACCCCAGGCGGTCAGCAGTCTCTGATCGGATGATTGGTCCATACATCTCCGGTACACACACTGGCACACACAATCCTCCAGCTGTAACAGAGCTGGATAGTGACAGAATGGGGACTGTCCAGTGCTGGCACCGCCTTTGTCTACATAGCTGGAGCCAATCAATAGGCAGGTGTGTGCTCTGGTTGCAGGGTTAACCCTCTGTGAGTAGGATGATCGAGCTTGATGTGTATGGGTGGGAAGCACTGTGTGCTGGGAGGCCGCCTGTCCTCACTGAGAGCTGCAGCCTGGGGTCTGCACCCCAGCAGGAGCCATTAGAGGAGAGCTGAGCCTAGGAGGAAGGCGGGTCATGGAGGTGACAGGAGGAAGATGGGGGCAGACAATGGTAGGGGTGAGGGGAGCGGATGCTGATTGTTCGTGTGGAGCGCTGCCATGTCATGAATGATCCTTCAGCTGAGGGGAGGGACGGCAGAGGGGGAGGAAGATGCTCCCACATGCTGGGTGTCTAGGGCAAGTGAGGCAGCTGAGCTGAAGCTCTTGCCAGTGTTCCTCTCAAACCTCAGTCCCTTACTGCAAGCCAGCTGGCGGCTGCTGATCACTGTGAAGTTTTGGAACACTGTCTTTTTTTTTTTTTGTCTGTCTGATTGGTTAATACAGTTAATTTATATTTGGTTAATATATATTTTGTCTTTAGTATTGGTGCTGATGGCATCTTATGGCACTTTTTTTGCAACCAAATCCTCACCAAACAGATGTTCCCCATGAAAGGGGAATCCAGCCAGCAGTTTCTTGCAAGGCAATTCAGCTGACCAACTTTTTGACCATAAGACTCTGTCCATGAGTCTTTTAGGACATCCACTGCAAAGCACAAGGTGCCACCTCCTCAGCAGCAACCTCTTCCTGACCAGGAAAATTCCTAAATACCCATTTTACACGATCCTGCAGAGACTGACGAACACCAGTTGCCACTATAGCAGTTTGCGCCGCAGAACCAGCCAGGGCAAAAGAAGCTTTTAGCAATGACTCCATCTTCGTATTCACTGGGACTTTAAACGTCTGGGCATTATTTGCTGGACAGGTTAAATTCTTATTCAAGAAGGAGCAGCAGTGTCAACTTCTGGCATTCTTCATTTTTTAACAAATTTAAATTTCTCTTCCAAAGGATACAAGATGGAAAACCTCTTGACAGGGACAAAGATTCTATCCGAACAATCCCAGTCAGCATCAACAACCTGCTTTAACAGAGGGTGCAATGGAAAGTCTTAAGCATTCTGCGGTGGCTGCAGGGAAACCCAGAAGGAGTAGGAGGCTTCAGAAACCTCCAGTGGAGGCAATTTAAATCCTGTGTGGACCATTTCTGTTAGAGATTGCACCAACAATCTCTTGAACTGTGAAGCCAAACATGCCAGGACCTCAGGCATGGACTCCCCAAAAGCAGAGTCTGACCCTCCTGCAGCTCACGAATAGCTACTTCCGTTACATCCTCAACATGTTCCTTCTCTAAAACAGGAGGATCGGGGGAGGGGGGGCTTTCTAGCTTGTTCCATGCCTGTCTAACTGAGGCAATCACCCCAGTGATTTTATCCTCTAAGCCAGCCAATGCTGATGCTAAATCATCCTTTGTAACATAAGATGAGGCAGACACACTGGTAGTAGCCACAATGCCGAATGAACGCAGTGGCTCAGACTGACCAGTTGCCTCTGGTCTTTCAGGAGAAGTTATCACAGCAGAACCCCAACTAGGATCCTCAGAACCTGACAGCAGCAGACTTGTACCCCTTCCTGCTGTGCCTCCCCCACTCTACTTTCTGGAAGACATTGCCTACTCAAAGCGCAGTGAAATGCAACTGGGGTTTGTGATCAAAACACTCAAGAGATCCGCATAGAGCACAGCTTCCCTGTGACAGGGACGGCCGCTGCTGCGCATGCGTGGTACCCGCGCTGCACTACCATGCCATGGACACTCCAGTTGCCCACTCCCTCAAGATCTTTTTTTTTTTTTTGAGAAAACCAGGGAGTCATGCCGCATAATTCTGTCAATAGCTAGAAACCCAATCTTCACCCATCATGGCGGGCCATGTCACTTAAGGACCTTCAAGGACTGGGTCCCCCTTAACTCATGGGGTCCACTCCATTGAACCATACAGCACCCTGCCAGAAATGCCTTTGTCATTAGAGCATGCACAAGGCTCTTTAATGCAGGGTCCAGCTTCAAAAAGGTCGCATTACAGGCAAAACCTTGTTGACTACTTCCATATGAGGCACGGGTACCATTGGCTCAGCCATCAAAATGGATTCAATCAATCAGTCCCTTGATTAGTAAGAATCATTTTGGGACCAGCAGAGTTCACAGAGAGCTTAACATCCGTGACCATCACCTTCAGACACTGGTGAAAAAACTTTGTGTATGAAAGGAGTTTTATAGAGGGGGACTTCCTGTTTGGTCTGCCAGTGTCCATTCACCTATAGGTGGTGCATAACCCAGATTAGTAATAATTAGCCTGCTCTGTGTCCCATGATGTACGGAACAGCATATTTACTTGCACATGATTGGTAGATAGAAATCAGCAGAGTTTCCCTTCATTTCAGAGCTTCCCCTCAGACCTAGAGCAACTGCACTTGATGTGAACTTGCATTGCACTTGCACTGCACAGACTATTTCCCTTTACACCAAAGTCTCTCCTTCAGCACCTGGCACACTTGTTTGCATTTTTCAAGTTTGTGAAACACATGTAGAGTGTGTTGGCTTTTCCAACACCTCTCATATAGCATATATTTTAAATGGTAATTTGAAAAGCAGTCCCTTGTAGATACAGACTGCAAGTGCTGGCCTTCTTATAAAATTGATAGATGCTTGGTCATCCTCAGCTTTGAGTCACTGACTTAAAACAAGTAGGCAGTAAGAGAATTCAGAACTTCTGATCTGTGAACTTGCTCTCCAGATCAGTAAGTTAGAAAGCAGGTATTCCAGTTAATCAACGCAGCAGCCACAATCTAGCATTTTCAGAAAGGACATCAATGGAAGTTCTTTTGTGTCTCTTTTGACCATTTTCTTTTGAAATACAACAATAGTGAAACCCTTTAACTTTAACCTAAGTCAGGGTTTTGTTTCCCACTTGGGAAGAGCACTGCTCTTTGTCTCCAGGCCTACTCCAGCAGAAACTGTTTTGCTTTGAATTTCTGGTACCTCTCTGTGGTGTACATTCTTTATACAACCATATGGAGAATTAGTTTGTTCTTCATATAGAGTATGCTGTATGTAATACAGAAGCAGGCTTTTGTTGTGTGTTTTGATTTTTTTCTCCAACTTTTTAAATTTTAAGCAGTTGTTCATTTGTCATTGTCATAATCTCAAAGCTTTGGACACTTGAATGCCTTTTGAATATACAAATTATGCCTTTATATTCTGTCTTCCCTATCACAGGGTCATTCCAATCTGAAACTCCAGTTGGCTGCAATGTTCTGCATAGAAAATCTTGCGTGGAATGAAGAGGAAGGTAAGAAAGTAAATTTGTATCACTGCCTTTTTACAGTACTTATTATTGTCCGTTCAGGCACATTTCATATCTGTGAAAACACCCCCACCAGAGTCATTTTGAGTAGAGATAGAGTATGGAAGGGCTAGAATCAATATTACATTTTTATTGCAGTCTTTTTTTTTTTTTCCACTGGTTGATTGATTCATCCTTTCTGTGTTCTGGTGACCGTTGTCAATAAGATAGAAATGATAAATTCAGAATTTTACAGTTATCACCAGAACAGGGACTGAGGGTAATTTTTTGAACGGGAATATTTGTATAGAACAGTATATGTATATAACATAGTGTATATAGTGCAGTAACCATAAGTATGTAAGCTACCACAATAAGAGTACCATACAAGGTACTGTACCATACAGTGTGCAAAGTATGGTATGATTCGGAGTCGTAGCTGACCTTTGAACTCTGTATTCTGGGAGTGCACCAGTCATGAATGTGCAACATACAGCACAGAATACAGAGTATAGGGGTCAAAAGTCTTTTATACAGTAGTCACTGTAAGTCACATGTCCATTTTTACAGAGTTAAGTAGGTATAATGCACAATTTATATCCATAGCTGTTCTCCTATAACTAGAGTATACTATGCAGTATAAGTACATTATTAGAGCCAAGCAGTTTCTCAGCAGCTCTAAGAAGTAACATTGTACCACCACTACTGGTGATTGATTTAAAAACTCTACTTTTATGTCAATAAGTGCATTGATGACTAAAGCAGGAATCCTGTTAAAAAAAAAATCTCTCTCTCTCTCTCTCTCTCTCTCTCTCTCTCTCTATATATATATATATCTATATATATATATATATATATATATATATATATATATATATAACATCATACAGTCAGGTCCATAAATATTGGGACATCGACACAATTCTAACATTTTTGGCTCTATACACCACCACACTGGATTTGAAATGAAACAAACAAGATGTGCTTTAACTGCAGAATGTCAGCTTTAATGTGAGGGTATTTACATCCAAATCAGGTGAACGGTGTAGGAATTACAACAGTTTGCATATGTGACTCCCACTTGTTAAGGGACCAAAAGTAATAGGACAATTGGCTTCTCAGCTGTTCCATGGCCAAGTGTGTGTTATTCCCTCATTATCCCAATTACAATGAGCAGATAAAAGGTCCAGAGTTCATTTCAAGTGTGCTATTTGCATTTGGAATCTTTTGCTTTCAACTCTCAAGATGAGATCCAAAGAGCTGTCACTATCAGTGAAGCAAGCCATCATTAGGCTGAAAAAACAAAACAAACCAATCAGAGAGATAGCAAAAACATTAGGCGTGGCCAAAACAACTGTTTGGAACAATCTTAAAAAGAAGGAACGCACCGGTGAGCTCAGCAACACCAAAAGACTCGGAAGACCACGGAAAACAACTGTGGTGGATGACCGAAGAATTCTTTCCCTGGTGAAGAAAACACCCTTCACAACAGTTGGCCAGATCAAGAACACTCTCCAGGAGGTAGGTGTATGTGTGTCAAAGTCAACAATCAAGAGAAGACTTCACCAGAGTGAATACAGAGGGTTCACCACAAGATGTAAACCAGAACTGTGAAGGCTTTGTTAGATGTCGTTTGGCAAGCTTTAATCTGGCCTCAAAAACAGGAAGGCCACATTAAAGCTTGCCAAACGACATCTAACAAAGCCTTCACAGTTCTGGAACAACATCCTATGGACAGATGAGACCAAGATCAACTTGTACCAGAGTGATGGGAAGAGAAGAGTATGGAGAAGGAAAGGAACTGCTCATGATCCTAAGCATACCACTTCATCAGTGAAGCATGGTGGTGGTAGTGTCATGGCGTGGGCATGTATGGCTGCCAATGGAACTGGTTCTCTTTGTATTTATTGATGATGTGACTGCTGACAAAAGCAGAAGGATGAATTCTGAAGTGTTTTGGGAATATTATCTGCTCATATTCAGCCAAATGCTTCAGAACTCATTGGACGCCGCTTCACAGTGCAGATGGACAATGACCCAAAGCATACTGCAAAAGCAACCAAAGAGTTTTTTAAGGGAAAGAAGTGGAATGTTATGCAATGGCCAAGTCAATCACGTGACCTGAATCTGATTGAGCATGCATTTCACTTGCTGAAGACAAAACTGAAGGGAAAATGCCCCAAGAACAAGCAGGAACTGAAGACAGTTGCAGTAGAGGCCTGGCAGAGCATCACCAGGGATGAAACCCAGCGTCTGGTGATGTCTATGCGTTCCAGACCTCAGGCTGTAATTGACTGCAAAGGATTTGCAACCAAGTATTAAAAAGTGAAAGTTTGATTTATGATTATTATTCTGTCCCATTACTTTTGGTCCCTTAACAAGTGGGAGGCACATATGCAAACTGTTGTAATTCCTACACCGTTCACCTGATTTGGATGTAAATACCCTCAAATTAAAGCTGACATTCTGCAGTTAAAGCACATCTTGTTTGTTTCATTTCAAATCCATTGTGGTGGTGTATAGAGCCAAAAATGTTAGAATTGTGTCGATGTCCCAATATTTATGGACCTGACTGTATATATGTTTGTAAAATGAGGAACTTTTTAAATGTCTAATTACAATTTCGTAATACTTTTATCTTTTTTCTTTGTAAATGACAAACCGCTAATAAGCAACCTAACCCTAAAAAAGTGTCTTTTACTCATTAATATTATTTCTGCATTCATCTACATCTTACAGTCAGGTCCATAAATATTGGGACTTCGACACAATTCTAACATTTGTGGCTCTATACACCACCACAATGGATTTGAAATGAAATGAACAAGATGTGCTTTAACTGCAGACTTTAAGCTTTAATTTGAGGGTATTTTCATCCAAATCAGGTGAACGGTGTAGGAAATACAACAGTTTGCATATGTGCCTCCCACTCGTTAAGGGACCAAAAGTAATGGGACAGAATAATAATCATAAATCAAACTTTCACTTCCACTTCTTTCCCTTAAAAAACTCTTTGGTTGCTTTTGCGGTATGCTTTGGGTCATTGTCCATCTGCACTGTGAAGCGGCGTCTAATGAGTTCTGAAGCATTTGGCTGAATATGAGCAGATAATATCGCCCGAAACATTTCAGAATTCATCCTGCTGCTTTTGTCAGCAGTCACATCATGAATAAATACAAGAGAACCAGTTCCATTGGCAGCCATACATGCCCACGCCATGACACTACCACCACCATGCTTCACTGATGAGGTGGTATGCTTAGGATCATGAGCAGTTCCTTTCCTTCTCCATACTCTTCTCTTCTCATCACTCTTGTACAAGTTGATCTTTATCTCATATGTCCATAGGATGTTGTTCCAGAACTGGAAGGCTTTTTTAGATGTCATTTGGCAAACTCTAATCTGGCCTTCCTGTTTTTGAGGATCTTGGTTTCATCTGTGGTGAACCCTCTTGTATTCACTGTGAAGTCTTTTTTAGATGTCATTTGGCAAACTCTAATGAAGGCCTTAGAGTGACACCACAGCTCTTTGGATCTCATCTTGAGAGTTGACAGCAACAGATTCCAAATGCAGCAAATAGTAGCACTTGAAATGAACTCTGGACCTTTTATCTGCTCATTGTAATTGGGATAATGAGGGAATAACACACACCTGGCCATGGAACAGCTGAGAAGCCAATTGTCCCATTAGTTTTGGTCCCTTAACAAGTGGGAGTCACATATGCAAACTGTTGTAATTCCTACACCGTTCACCTGATTTGGATGTAAATACCCTCAAAATAAAGCTGACAGTCTGCAGTTAAAGCAGATCTTGTTTGTTTCATTTCAAATCCATTGTGGTGGTGTATAGAGCCAAAAATGTTAGAATTGTGCCGATGTCCCAATATTTATGGACCTGACTGTATCTAATAGTTTGTATAATGGTGTGCAGTGCCTAAAATGTTTGACACCCACAGGGGATGTCAAAGGATTTGAACTCATGATTCTGTAACCACTTCTACACATCCCTCCAAATTTGCCAATGTAGTGTGTTCCCTCCACAGGCTCGCAAGGGCGTCAGGATAAGCTGCGAGAAATTGGGATTGTTGACATCCTGCACAAATTGAGTCAATCAACAGACCCATACCTCTGTGACAAGTATGTATGTTTGAAGCATGCAGTAAATGTATATGTACTTAGAGCCCTTGGAAAATCAGTGGCAGTCCCAACACACAGTATTCACTGCATTGTAGAAAGGGAAAGTGGAGTTAATGTGAAACTGCACCCTAAATTTAATTATTTAGCTGCCTGCAAGTATCTTTGCCAAGTACCTTTAGTACTATGGGAAACTCAAAACCCAAATATTCAAATGTGGAAATTGAAACTTTAGTGCAAGAAAGTAGGGGGCTGGCCCTCCAGCTTCCACAAAACCCACTGAACCAGCAATAAGGAATGGTAGGAAGTGAAGAGGCAGGTCATGCCTCAAATTTCTTGACAAAAGCTCCCTAAATTCAGTGGTTCTCAGAGACCTGAAGGTACCGGGTAGAGTTCTGTGCTGGCAGTTATGTTTCTACATGTTGATAGGTAAGGAAATGTTCACTTTGGGTAGATTGAAAGGCATAGGGAGACGTAGACTTTTCCACATTGGGACTTGTCTAATTGTTTGAAGGGAAAAGCTATATTTCTCATGAAAACAGTCATTCAAATCTTTTCTACCTTATTTTAGTACCATGTAAGGGATAAGAGGAAGAATCTGGTTGCTATTTTTTTTAGTTTTCTAAAAATGAGTATGTTAGTAGTATGGGTTGTGCTACTTGGACAAGACCAGAGTAATCAATTCAGAAAAATACTTAGTAATCTACTTTTTATAAAAGGTATGGATTAAATTAGGTATGCACTGATGCCAATACCAAGTATTTTCATAAATACTTGTACTCGTGAAAATGCTCCTGATACCTGAAACTGATACAATGCGGTGCGATCTGTGTCCATACAAAATGTATGTACGCAAATCGCACTGCAAAGAATAGCATGCAATTAGAACAGGAATACAGTGTGATTTCTTTCCAAAATCATATGCGGTTTCCAAAATCACATGCGGTTTCCTGTGTGAACCCAGGATTTTCATAGCCCGAGTTCACACAGGAGCAGTACGGGAAACCTCCCTGCACCAATCCCATGCTGTCACACAAAGAAAACTGCTTCACAGGTCAGCTTTCTCTCCTTTCCTTGCAGGAATGACAGTACAGACTAGAGTACTTCTGATTGATCAGCACCATCATGGTGCTAACCAATCGGAGGCCTTCTAGCCCATACTGTCACCTCTGCAAGGACAGGAGAGGAAAGCACGGGGATTTCATATCCCCAGACCTGTGAAGCAGATTTTCCTTGTGTAACAGCATGGGATTGTTGCAGGGAGGTTTCCAGCACCACTCCTGTGTGAACTCAGGCTTTGACAAGACAGCATTCACACAGGAGCAGTGGGGAAACTGAATGCAATTTGGACAGGAATCGCACCACCTTCCTGTTCAAATTGCATGCTATTCTTTGCGATGCGATTTGTGTTCATATATTTTGTATGGATGCAGATTGCGCCGTAAAGTATCAGTACTCAGCATGAGCTATAAAAAAATCTGTATCTGTGCATCCCTAGATTAAATTCTGTACGGTCTAAACTGCATTGAAATGTGAAGTAGAATTAGGTAGATGCAACGCATTGCTTTCACTAAGATGTGTATGAATAGGCCCATTCAAAGGAGAAATGCCTTATGAGTAAATGCCATTTTTACATGTCAGGCTTACAGTCGCTGACATTCATCCAATGTAAAATGACATTTACCCAGAGCCCCTTTATCCAGTTGTAGGGGTTATCACATTTCCTAGAGAACATTACTTATAACTATTCATACTTGCATTTAGTACTCCAGTGAGATTTCTTCCATAGTGTTTTACATTCTGACAACATAAATTGCGTAACATTCATGGCTCAGCAAAGGCAATGTTGTGTCAAACATTTGGTGGATTTGCAGGTCACACATGGCTGCCATGTAAACATGTTGTGTAAGTTCTTGCTCCTTTTAAAAAACACTATTCACAAGTAAATAATTCGAGAGACATAAAGCAAAACATTTTAATTGTATTTATATATTTTGAAAGAATTAAAATGTATATCTTTTGTGCTTCCTCCAGGGCAAAAACTGCACTACAGCAATATCTTGCATGATCTTGGGAAAAAAATGTTGGCCTTCCATACACCACTTATTTTTCTTACACCACCTATTTTCACATCACCTATGGATGAACAAACTAGTCTGTTTCCCTAGTGCACACAGTCACCTTGGACGTCTTCACACAATTTGTGATGCGAAACTGAGCTGCCGATGCAGAATGGACTACTTTCTATATAACCCTTCCAGCCCCCCGATGGATTACTAGTATTCATTTCTTTTGTTTTCACCTTTTTGGGGGATTTTCTGAGCTATTTGGATTTATAACGCTGTTGCTGCAATCTCTTTTGTGTGCGTGGCTAAATACCTCAACCTCTGAGTTTTTCCTTCCACTGCTTGCACACCTCCTAAAACTTAACATGCAAGAAAACTTGGATTTTTTTTTTCATTTTCTCCCCCACCAGCAATTTCCCAGGGCAAAGGATTTGCTGTACAAAAAAAAAAAAAAAAAAAAAAGTTCTATACAGTTTGTAAAATGTTATTTAATAAAAGTGTATAAATATAAATATATATAAATATATATACATGCACACGAAGTGCAGGACAATAAGTGCCCCAAAAGTTTATGTTAATTTTTTGAGCGTACAGATATTTGTAAGTAAAATATATGAATTTCTGAAGTCAGTCTTTGTATATATTTTTGGTTTTCTACAGATAAATGGGTGACTGCATGGGCAATCAAAGCTGAATTATGTCAATTTTTGTAGTGCTTTATCAGATTTTATTTAAATTACTTGTGAAAAGCTGGCTATTAAATGCCAGAAAAAAACCTCATTGCTTCTGCTTTTTCTACCTCATGGATTTATCTTTTTTTTATGATTTACATTTTTACTGAGCATCAGGGGCATAGTTATTACTATACCTCTGGCTCTCCAATGCTGGACCTTCATGTCTCCGATCCGGCAGCTGCTGGTATTTTTCAGCTGCTCTGCCCCACCTCTCCTCTTGCTCAATCACAGAAGCCTTTGTAATATGTGAACCCATTCACAAAATGCAAAAATATTCTGTGACTGGACAGCTAAGGAGAGGTGCAGCCAGCTTGGCTCCCTCTCAACAGAGTGCCAGGAGTGTAGCAATGGCTGTACTCCCAGCACTTAGTAAAAAATGTAAATGGTAAACAAAAATAAGTCCACAAAGTGGCATACACCTTGTTGGATCTTATCCCTTATAAACCTGCATATTTTTAAAAGTGCTTTAATTTATGGAGTTCTGCTTTTAAATACTGATGTAACAGGTTTGATTCCTAGCGGGCAATCTCCTGCTGCCCTGATCTCACCATAGACTACCTGAAAATTCATGCGAGAGTTTTGAATTTCTGAAAGTCAAGGTCAGTTTTTGAAAGTCAAGCTTCTGGACCCCCACTCAACAGCTTACATAATCTTATAAACTAAACACGGATTTCCATATATGAGAGGTTCTTAATTTTGTTTAAATCATAGAAACAGCATGAACAAGCCTTGAGATTCACCTGCATCAGTGACACACAGGTCAAGGCATTTGTTCATGCTGTTTGCTCTTGCACCAATTCCAGACTATCTGCCTAGCTGTAACAGAATTTTTGTACTATCCTACATAAGTGCTTGGGCTTGAGAGGCAATGAGTAGAGAATTATTGGAGGTCAGAGGGAGCATCATGAGTTTCTCCCCTGCACCTACAAGTAGTGGGAACACCTGAAGGCTCTGGCTGTAGATTGGGTTGATTTTGGAGCCCGAGAAGAATGTAAGTACAGCATTTCTATGATGCCTTCTATGCAGAAAACCTGATGCATCTAACATTACAAACTGCATAAATTGGGACTACATATGAGCTCAAGCAGTCAACAGGACTTCAGGTGATCTCAACCCTTACGGTCAAGCTGAGCAAGCAAATACAGGCTATGTAAGGAACTGCGTTGACAGACTTTTGTATGTATCAGAACTGCTTCTTTCCATACAAGTCAACAGATTTGCAAAAGCTGGTTGATGCAGCTTGTGGGAGGTCAATGCAGTTTAGAAGGAAGTCAAATGCACCTGTCAACAAAATCTGAATTCTTTCAGACCTTTCTCAGATGGTATCAAATGCAAACGGAATGCACCTAAGAGCATGCTACATTTGCCCATCAACACGCCTAAAGCCCTTCGAGGTCCTAAAGCTAATTTGAGTTGCAAAGGAAATCTTTCATAAGTCTGTGTATGTATAATAATTTAGAAAAAAATGAATATGCAGATTTTTGCATTACGTCCAGACTGGTTACCTTAGTCAAAGTGCATAGTGGAGCCTAAACAACTCAATATTGCAGTCATTGCTTGTGATATTTGGACTGTCTGTGCTGTCCTACTGAATGATAATGAATGTCTCCAGCAATGGTCTAAGGCTTTGTTTATTGAAATTCCTGCAAGTTGATCTGATCCATCACCCATTGCAAGTATAGCACTGCTTCGATGATTCACAAAAGGAGAGGTAGATATCATCTCACCCATATCCTAGGTATGCTACTCTTTTTGTCTGATAAACCTATTATCATATAGGCAAATTTGCTCATTGTCTGTCCAATCATCATCACTGCAGTTTCTTTCTCTTTTATCTTTAACATGCTCTCAGATGTGTGTTGACTGATTGCACAAAGAAAAATTCAGTGTTAGAAAGTGTTTGTCAACTCTGAGAAATGTGCTGTGGTCCTGTCACATAGTACACCATAAGTGGTTACACTGTCTTGTATGATTGGAGCACTAAGTAGCAGTACAAGTGGCTTTTATGTGAATTTAAACCTCTTTCTGCATTTTATTTTTCATATGTATCCTAGAACAGTGATCTCCAAACTGCGACCCTTTGCTTGCTTTTATCTGGCCCTTAGGGCACTGTTTTCATCCACTGATACCAACAGTGGGAAATAACCCCCCCCCCACTAACACCAATGAAGGGGCACAATTTTTCCCAATGACACCAATGATGGGACACAATTCCTCCCAATGACACCAACAATGGGGCTCCATGACACCTATGATGGGGCACAATTCCTCCCAATGACACCAACAATGGGGCACAGTTACTACCAATGACACCAACAATGGGACCCAATGACACCAACAATAAGGCACAATTCCTCCCACTGACACAAACAATGAGGTGCTATTCTTCCCACTGACACCAGTGATGGGGCATTGTTTATTCCCACTTACATCAGGACCTTTTTCTACTTCCAATGGCCAGAGCCCAGCCCCCCTTAAGTCTGAAGGATAGTAAACTGGCCATTTGTATATAAAGTTTGGAGACCCCTTGCCCTAGAAGATGGTGATATGCTTCCTTATGTTTTCAGAGTTTCATAGTGCACTCAGCTCAGTCATTGACAATCAGACATTCTGTTGCACATTTTAAATATACTGATTTCAAAAAAGTGTGTGCAGATTACATGGTATCAGGGAGAGCAACCAGCTGTAGAATCACCTTTCTCCTCTTTGAATGGGTATATTACTGTATATTCCATTGAGGAGCAGGTGCAGCTACTTCTTCCAAGTGGCGTTTCAATCAGCTTTGTTCTTTTAGTATTGTTTATAAGGACTGTAACTACATCCAACCTATATGACAAGGTAAACATTAAAATGTGATGCATGGTATTTTTATTCATTCATTTCATATCAGAGCTTAATGTGTCTGGGTATTTTATTGGTTGCTGTGGTTTTCCTATCAATGCACTGTTCAGTTTCCCCTGCAGATGGAGTTCTTACATCACTACATACTCCATGACTACTATTTTGTGAGGGTTATGAGAGGAAAAACATTGATTTTAGTAAAAAAAAAGAAAATGAAAGAACCTTGTATTTACTATTGATCATCTGAGAAGCTGGATTGCAAAGTCCTGTGGAGTGTTCTGGGGTAGAGGCAAGCTAAATCTAAATCCGTATGGTTGACGTATGCTGCTCAGAGGCTAGTTTACAGAGATCACGGGTACAGGTTACATAGGTAAATCATTCTGTATAATGGTTATAGCTTTATTACTGTGACCAAGGCTTACAGGTCTGCTGTGATGTAGGTTAATTCTCAATTGGTCTAGATTCGAACAAAGCTAACACAATCAGCCGTACTGTCAAAAGCACTCTTTCAGAAGGACACTCATATAACATTTACTATGTGCACAATTTTTAAGCCATCCATAAATACTGATTATATACAGTATTTCACAGACGTGAGTACACCCCTCACATTTTTGTAAATATTTTCTTATATCTTTCTTTTCATTGTAGGAATGTGTAATTTCTTCAGGGTTGTCACATGAAAAGTAGTGAGTGTACAGCTTGTATAAAAGTGTAAATTTGCTGTCCCTCAAAATAACTCAACACACAGCCATTAATGTCTAAACTGCTGGCAACAAAAGGAAGTACACCCCTAAGTGAAAATGTCCAAATTGGGCCCAATTAGCCATTTTCCCTCCCCGGTGTCATGTGACTCGTTTGTTACAAGGTCTCAGGTGTGAATGGGGAGCAGGTGTGTTAAATTTGGTGTTATTGCTCTCTCTCATACTGGTCATGAAGTTCAACATGGCACCTCATGGCAAAGAACTCTCTGAGGATCTGAAACAAATTGTTGCTCTATGTAAAGATGGCCTAGGCTATAAGAAGATTGCCAACACCCTGAAACTGAGCTGCTGCACGGCAGCCAAGACATAGACATATGAGTGCTGCCAGCATTGCTGCAGAGGTTGAAGGGGTGGGGGTTCAGCCTGTCAGTGCTCAGACCATGCACCGCACACTGCATCAAATTGGTCTGCATGGCTGCTGTTCCAGAAGGAAGCCTCTTCTAAAAATGATGCTCAAGAAAGCCTGCAAACAGTTTGCTGAAGACAAGCAGACTAAGGACATGGATTACTGGAACCATATCCTGTGGTCTGATACCAAGATAAACCTATTTGGTTCAGATGGTGTCAAGCGTGTGTGGCGGCAACCAGGGGAGGAGTACAAAGACAAGTGTGTCTTGCCTACATTCAAGCATGGTGGTGGGAGTGTCATGGTCTGGGGCTGCA